TCACCATGAAGATTCACCGTTGCGAAGAAATACGTTCATTGTGAGAGGCGGCTTTGATGTCTAAGGCATAAGATGCGGGGGCTTTTCAGCTGCCTCTGTCTAGATTACCTTGAGAGCAACGGGATAGACATCTGTAACAAGCAAATGAAAAATTAAAGGTGATTAGCCTACACATCCAAAAAACCGCGTCGGCAAAGAAAGAAATCAAGAAGAAAAGACGCGCTGGGGGGGGGGGGGGGGGGGGGGGGAGAGCCGAGGAGGAGGAGGGCTGAGGGATGAGGAGGAGGAAAGGCCAACTCCCACCGAGCTGAAAACACCTTCTCCTCTTGGAGATGGCCTCCAGTCCTTCGGGATCAACATTGGTGGAGTTGGGGATCACCACTTCAGACACACAACAAAAACAACACTATAAATAAAACAATTTATTTTAGGAAGGTTTTAGCTCTGGACGATGTGTGTCTCCTCTACACAGCCCTATATCCCAGAATATCAAGACAGAAAATCCCACATTATCTGAGTGTAAAGGAGACATGGTAACCATGTATAAATATGTGGGAAGAAGTCACGGGAAGGAAGGAGCAAGCTTGTTTTCTGCTGTCCTATAGACTATGACACATAATAATGTCTTCAAACTACAAGAAAGGAGATTCCATCTGAACAGTAGAAAGAACTTCCTGTGACAGCTGTTCAGCAGTGGAACTCTCTGCACCGGAGTGTGGTGGAGGCTCCTTCTTTGGAGGCTTTTAAACAGAGGCTGGATGGCCATCTGTCGGGATGCGTTGAATGCGATTTTCCTGCTTCTTTGCAGGAGGTTGGGCTGGATGGCCCAACTCTATGATTCTATGACTTATCACACTAGAGAAAAAAATCCACTTCTCCCACGCTATGTGTGTTTTATCTTTAGGTAAATGTAGACTACTACTTCATCACATTTGAGAATTAATTCACTTTAAATCCGGTTTCTGCCAACTGCAGAATTCTGGGGTTTAGTGAGGCTGTTAAAGCCTCCTCCCTAAATTAAAAACCCCAGAATTCTGCAGGAGGCAGAAACTGGATTTTTAAGTGCATTTTTCCCTCTAGTGTGATGGGAATCAGAGTTGTTAGGCTCAAACATAACCCTCACTTGGGGGTGATTTCACAAAAATGTAACAAGAGTGTCAGAAGCACAGCTCATAACCAGCAGAAGCTTATGTGAAGTGAGCAAGGATTAGTCTCCATTCAACAGGATGGCACAGGACTTCAGGAGCCACAACTTCATGGGTTCAAAAATATGTGTTTAATAAAGTCAAAAGAAATCAATTATAGATATAAAAGGTTATTGAAGCTAACTAGCTTACTAAGCTATCTTCTAAGAAAAAGAGGATAAAAAATAAGGAAATATCCATGCAGCTATATCTTGCCTGGAAAAAAGGCAAGAGACTTGTGCAGTTAGGGATGAACAGCATAAATCCCCCTGGTAACCCAGTTCAAAGCAGATATTGTAGGATATTCTGCCTTGATGTTCTGGGATATAGGATTGTGTGGAAGGGCCCTAAGTGGATCCTCCTCTCTTCCTTCCAAGTTTGGCTGCAATCCGACCCTCATGTGACTGCCAAGAATCTCCATGGGGTTTACTTCGAGGTAGATATCAATGGAGGCTTCCTACTGAGGCAGTGAGGTGAGCCACAAGCTTCTCTGGGCCCTTCCACACAGCCATATGACACAGAATATCAAGGCAGAAAATCCCACAATATCTGCTTTGAACTGGGTTGTCTGAATCCACACTGCCATATATCCCAGTTCAAGGTAGATAATGTGGGGTTTTATTTAGCTGTGGGAAAGGGGCCTCTGTTGTCCTGCCAGCTGTACAGGGTGCAGAAGCAGGTGATCTTTCTTCTGTGGGAAAAGAAGATCACCCAATGAGGCCAAGAAACTGATGAAACCACAATGGAATTCATCCTGATTTAGAACATTCCACTGAGGCCTCTTCCACACAGCTGAATAAAATCCCACATTATCTGCTTTGAACTGGAATATATGGCAGTGTGGATTCAGATAACCCTGTTCAAAGCAGATATTGTAGGATTTTCTGCCTTGATATTCTGGGTTATATGGTTGTGTGGAAGGGCCCTAAGGCTCCTTCTACACATCCGAACAAAGTCCAAATTGTTTGCTTTGAACTGGATTATATGGCAGTGTAGATTAAGATAATCCAGTTCAAATCAGATGAGAATTTTCTGCTTTGATAACATAGATTATCTAGCAGTGTAGAAGGGCCTAAATCAGTGAGGCATAGGCCTAAATCCTTTTTGTTACTCTTGACTAGAATAGGCTCATTGAATCAATGGAATTTACCTATGTGTTGACTGACCATTCAATAATTAGTTCACTGATACTTTGTATTCATTTTTTAAAAAAATATTGGGGAATCAGAGCTGTTAGGCTCAAAAATAATCCTCACTTGGGGTGATTCCACCATAAATATTGCAGAGTACCAGAAATAAACTTCGTAACTAGTAGAAACTTACACGTGATGAGCTGGAAAAGCTTCTGTTCCTTAGGATGGCACAGGATTGCAGAGTCAGAACTTTAGGTTCAAAAAATTATTGAAGTAAAAGAAATACATTCTTCACAGAAAAGGTCTTGGAGCTAACTAGCTTACCAAATCTCATCTTCTAAAGAGGTAAAAGGATTTTAAAAAGTCAATGCAGCTACATTTTGCCTAGAAAGAGGCAAAATGTGCATCCTCATAGGTAGAAAGAAAAGCAGAAGATGGTCAACCCAGGGCAATAAAAATTCCTCTAAAAAGGAGGTTCCCTCACAGAATTCCATTGCTACATCATCAAAGGAAAGGCAACAGTGGCAAGGAGGAAGAGTAAAGACAAAACCTTTCTGGGAAACATGCATATGAATTGGGGAAGGGGGAAGAATCCCTCAGCATAATCCCATCACTAGTCTATCTTCTCAATGAGGTCTGGAAACTTGATGACACAAGATACATGTGCAGTCCAGGGATGAAATCCAACATAAATTCTTAATTTAAAAAACTCATGAAAAAAATAATTGGTTCAGTTCGTCTAATCAGGTTGAGATTAACTAAGGAGTTCAGCAAGTGTTTTTACTGTGTTACACCCTTATTGTGTTATCCATACAAGGCTGAGAGAGAAATAGGAAGATAATGAATGAGACTAAAGGGGAGATTCTGCTTGATGTTAATGGCAGAAGTGAACAGATGTTTCTGCAATAGCTGATCCAAAGATTGAATAGAAGAACCTGGTCTTGGATAATATGCATCTGGGCAAAACCTTCGTTTACCTTGAAACAAATGGATTTTACCACATCCCTTTGTTCCCAACCTTCCTAATGCTGTGACCCCTTAATACATTTCCTCATGCTATGGTGACCCCCAACCATAAAATTATTTTTGTTGCTACTTCATAACTCTATTTTCTGCTACTGTTATGGATCGTAATGTAAATATATGATATGTAGGATGTATTTTCATTCACTGGACCAAATTTGGCACAATCGCCCAAATTCGAATACTGGTGGAGTTGATTATGCCATTTCAGAGTTGTAATTATTGGGATTTATATTTCACCTACAATCAAAGAGCATTCTGAACCTCACCAACAATGGAATTGAACCAAACTTGGCACACAGAACTCCCATGGCCAACAGAAAATACTGGAAGGGTTTGGTGGGCATTGACCTTGAGTTTTGGAGTTGTAGTTCAGCTACATCCAGAGAGCACTGTGGATTCAAACAATGATAGATCTGGACCAAACTTAGACAATATGGACTCAATATGTCCAAAATGTGAACAATGGTGGAGTTTGGGGAAAATAGTATTTGGGAGTTGTGGTTGCTGGAAATTATAGTTCACCTACAATCAAAGAGCATTCTGATTTCCACCAACGATAGAATTGGGCCAAACTTCCCACACAACCCCCCCCCCCGATCAACAGAAAATACTGTTTTCTCATGGTCTTTGGTGAGCCCCCCCAGGGGTCCCAACCCCCAGGATGAGCGGTTTATAGCACTGACCAAAAATAAATTCCTATATTCTAAATACACCGAAACCTATAAGGGGTATAACATTTCAGAATCTAGTATGGGTCCTTTGAGCATTGCATAATAATGCTAGTTTCAGCACTGTCCCCTATTTTTCACTCTGGGCGGGGAGGGGGCTTTGGTTGGTTGGTAAGACTTATTACTCTAGACACCTCTGGAATATGTTCAAGATTTTAAAACCATTTTATTTTGCCATTACAAAAAATTAATAATAATAGTTTCGAATTGTTATCTTACAGAACACAACTGTTGTGCGTTTGAAAACAAGACCACCACTGGGTTTACACCATCGGTTCAGAGAAATGGACACGCCGTGGATCCCTTTGGACAATCCAAGCGAATCAGCACAATGACGTCACTCATAACATTGCCCCCCTCCCCCTCCAATTAACATGGATCTCACCTTCCATCCACTAGGAATCACAAAAACTCACAACGCAACAGAAAGAACACGGAGGGGAGGGGGGAAGAGGGAGCAGGAGAGAAAAAGAGAATATGTTTATGCATTTAAATCCATTACTAGTGTAAATTAAAATGTACCATAAATCATTAAGCCACCCTCGGGGCTGTTTTATTAGTGACACGTGGGAAGAATATGCTGGGGAAATTGAGGCAGCAAAAATAGATTATTTCCCCAAAAGGTCAACTGAAATTGGGCAAATTAATCAAAGCATTTAATGGATCGATTGGTGTACAATTACTTAAGGGAGAATAAATTTATAGATACTAATATTCCTTTTTTTTTCAAAAAAGGAGAAAAACAGACACACAAGGCCAAAAGAAAGAAAGAAGAGAAAACTAAATAAAACCAAAATGGGTTGCTGTTAGTTTTCCGAGCTGTATGGCCATGTTCCAGAAGCATTCTCTCCTGACGTTTCACCCATATCTATGGCAGGCATAGAGGGGTCTGTTGGAAACTAAGTAAGTGATATATATGGAATGTCCAGGGTGGGAGTAAAAACTCTTGTCTTGTAGAGGTACCTGTGAATGTTGCAATTTGCCACCTTGATTAGCATTTAATGGCCTGCAGCTAGAAAGAACTCTAGCAGGAAAGAGTTCTTTCCCTCACCCTGGACATTTCACAGATATATAAATTTATCACTTAGGGCCCTTCCACACAGCCCTATATCCCAGAACATCAAGGCAGAAAATTGTTGGGAATCAAGAGCTGTTAGGCTCAAAAATAACCCTCTCTGGGGGTGATTCCATCAAAAATATAGCAGAGTGCAGGATGCACAGTACATAAGCAGCAGAAACTTACATGGAGTGAGCAAGGATTGACTTCCATTCAACAGGATGGAACAGGATTGCAGATCCACAACTCATAGGATCAAAATAATGTTTATTAAAGAAAAAAGAAATCCATTCTAGATAGGAAAGGTTTTTGGAGCTAACTAGCTTCACTGAGCTATCTTCTAAGGAAAAAAAGAAAAAAGGGAAAAATAATAAAAGTAACTATCTACTACATCTTGCCTTAGACAATGGCAAGATGCTTCCTCACTCTAGAGAAGACGAAAGGAAAAAAGCCCAAAAAATGGAGACAGGCCACATGGCCAGCCCAGGGCAATAAAAATACTTTTAAAAGAGGAAGTTACTTTTCCCTAAAGGGATTACATTCCTAGATATTCAAATGGGAGGAGATAGTGCCATGCAAAGATGAGTAAGCCAACCCTCCTTCTTAAACAACCTAGCTAAAGGAAATTGGGAAGGAATCCCTCAGTCTATCTACTCATTGAGAGCTGGAGACTTGTGCAGTCAGAGATGAAACCCAACAAAAATCCCACAATATCTGCTTTGAGCTGAGATATCTGAGTCCACACTCAGATAATGTGGGATTTTCTGCCTTGATATTCTGGGATATAGGGCTGGGTGGAAGGGACCTTAGTTTCCAACCTCTGAAATATGCCTGCCATAGATGTGGGCCAAACGGTCAAGTGAGAATCATCTGAAACATGGCCATACAGCCCGGAAAACTCACAGCAACCCAGTGATTCCGGTCATGAAAGCCTTCAACAATACATTAAAACCAAAACATTGGGCTAACAAACCAACCAACAAAAAAGCCCAAAGGTGGGGAGGGGGAATCACACCATCACAAGAGTGACACCAGCACGACTATAGAGCTAGAAATCCGTATTAAAACACTTTGGTTCATTGAGATACAAAAGGACGGTTTCAACTGAGATCGAGGCCGTTTGTAAACGCATGGGAAGGAGGCGATTCCAAAAAAAGTCTTGGAGCAGAAGGGCGGGAAAGAATAAATTTAGAAGGAAGGGAAGGCTTGTAGAAGGAAACTGTCCTGGGTGCTTGGCACCATAATAAATACAAAAGGAAGTTGGGGGAAAGGGCTGTAGGTGGGTCTCCAAGGGGGGGAGATCAGTGTAGCTTCTCTCCAGTGGCCTGTGCAGCATTTCTGATCAGAGGAGAGAGGAAAGGAGATCTGTTCCTGCTCCTCTGCTCGAACAGCCAAGCTTTCCTCTGACCCCTCCTTGGCCGGAGGAGAGGGGAGGCGAAGGTCCTAAGGAGCGCTCCCACAAGAAACGAGGAGGAGGAGGAGAACAATGCAGTGTATCGCCGTCGGCAGGCAGTCCATCAGTCCTACCGTATTGACTTTAATAACCGGGCCGAGGATCACAGTTTGTGTAAGCGGCCTCTCCCGGGTGAGGTGACGGAGAGTTACTGGGTGGAGTCGGGATGCCGCCGGCCCCTGAGCTTTGGCACACGTACCATTCGCTCAGGTTGGCCGCTGCTTGGCTGGAGGAGGAAGAGGAAGAGGAAGAAGAGGAGGAAGAGGCTGGTGGGGCGGCGGAGGAGGAGGAAGAAGAGGCCAGAGGAGGAGGAGGAAGCGGAGGCGGCAGTGGCGGCAGTGGCTGGGGGGCTTCCCGCCCGCAGTCGGAGGACGGCGACACCAGCGACGGGGTGGAGGACTCGTAGCCCGAGCTGGGAGGAGGGGACTTGCAGTGGACCTTCATGTGCTTCCGCAAGGAGCTGGGGTGGGTGTAGGACTTGTCGCAGCCTCGCACTTTGCAGTTGTAGGGCTTGTCGCTCGTGTGCACGTGGGAATGCTTCTTCCGGTCGCTGCTGTTGGCGAAGCGCCGCTCGCAGCCTTCAAACTCGCACTTGAAGGGCTTCTCCCCTGCAAGGAAAGAGGCAAGCCAGGGAGACTTGGCATGAGGGACCAGGCGAAGGAAGGGATCTTGGGGAGGGAGGGAGGGGTTGACTAGACTGGCAACTGGAGCAAGGGAAAGGGTTGCGGATCTCAAGTCATGACCTAGGGCCCTTCCACACAGACCTATATCCCAGAATACCAAGGCAGAAAATTCCAGAATATCTGCTTTGAACTGGGTTATCTGAGTCCACACTGCCATATATTCCAGTTCAAAGCAGAAAATGTGGGGTTTCATTCAGCTGTGTGTGGAAGGGGCCTCCCAAGCCTCCCCTCACCCCCCCCCCCCCCGGAGAAACCTTCCAGTATCCTTTTCTGTTCTACTAGGAACAGGCCTGAAGAACCCATTTGAACCAGGCTACAACGCAGGGGGTGCCCCCCCCCCCACTCTTTTGAGAAAGCCAATGAGGGAAGATGAGGAAGTTGGGACTGTCCTTAGCAATGCTACCTTCCAAAGAAAGGAAGCAGGCATGGGTTGCTGTTAGTTTTGGCTATGTTCCAGACGCATTCTCTCCTGACGTTTCACCCACATCTATGGCAGGCATCCTCAAACCCCTCAACCTCAGGAAAGAATGCTTCTGGAACATGGTCATACAGCCCCCAAAACTCACAGCCACCCAGTGATTTCGGCCGCACAACACAATGAAGCAGGCGTGGTTCAGCAGAAAAGCTGGCAGTGAAAGGTGGGCCAGTATCTTCCTTGTTCTCCTAGTTTCCCTCAACTCCGTTTGCTTCCCTTCCCTTCCCTCATTCTCCCCATATTCCCCCTTTCTTTTTAATAACAAAATACCTCATTCACTGTTCCCACAACCATTCTTTCTTTCGAAGATGGCGGCCTGGTTTAATTTTGAAGCTCTCAAACCAACCAGCTGAGCAACTAAGGCATTCTGACACCCAAGTGCCACTATTTCTTTCTTTCTGTCTTTCCTTTTCTTTATTTCATGTTTTCCCAGGTTTCCAAAGGTAGCCATAATCTGGCACACAGGTTTTTCTAGCACTTTGTAATTGGCAGGGTATGTTGATAAAATGCCAAATGCACACCTTCAACCCTTTGAAAGCGTTTATTTCAACCCTGGTGAAAAAAACACGTTCCCCAAACCTCTATAATTTCCTTTAAAGGTAGCTGAAGCAGTGTGCTTCCAGAATGTGCCAGATAATATATAATAAATACCTTTTCCACTCACAATACTTGCAGTGGATAAAAATCTAGAGGGATCTGATTATCCTCGCTAAAGGCCTTCTTCACTTCAGTTTAAGAGTAACTAGGCCAAGATTGTATTTTGTTAGTGAGGAAGATCTCAGTCCAATGACAAGCGGGATACCTTTATCTGAGGAGGGGGAAACGCCAAGCAGCCCACTCTTGGGGTCAGTGGCTAAACTCCCTTGGCTTGGAACAGATCTGCAGGGCAATCACATTACATTCCAGATGCTGGAAGTGACTGGGGAAGAACGCCTGATTTCCAGGGACAGGCTGAGAATGGTTTGTCCACTAACGGCTGAATGGATGGCTTTCTAAAGCAAGACACGTTGAAGCCACGTGCTTTGCAGTCTCTGTGGGCCGAGGCTGTATCATTTTGAAGGGGGGAAAATCCAGCCAGCCAGCGAAGCTAACATACAAAAAGAGGCACAGATTTAAACAGGGATGAGAAATGCAAGCCAGGATACTGTGTGTGTTTCTTGGAAGCATATATTTAGCCAAAACCTAGCAGGGTAAGTGTTTCTGTGTTTATTCATATAGTATTTCTTAATCATCATGGCTTTCTTAATGGGGGCCAGGTGCTATGTTTTCCGAGTTTGTTTTTAAATCAGCCTAACTCTCCCTTTTTTGCATGTGTATGTGTATTGATTTTAGAGGAAGTAAATCCACTGTTTAAAAGAGAGGAAGCAGAAAAAAAAGCCAGCTACTCATTAAAAAATTAAAAGCAGGTCGTATATTGTCAATATAATATTTCAGGAGTGTTCCGGACTGCGATGGAAGGGGTTAACGGGGAAATCCGCGTGGAGTAGCACCTTTTGCAAAGTGATGGCAGGCCCTGGGAGAAACCATGTCTCCTCTACAGCAGGCCTGGCTAAGCGATGCTTTCTATGTCCCTGCGTGGTATTCATTCCGAATCGCGGGTGAAAGGGGCGGTTGGGTGGGAAAGCAAAGCAAAACAAGATAATCTATATCTTTTGATGGCTCTTTAAGCGTTTTAATTATAGTTGCTTGTAAAGAAACAGTTTGACCTTCCGGTGCTCAGCTGAAATAACAAATCAAGGGGATTGGTGTAGAGCACAAGCAAGCAGTCAGTTAGGAGGCCCTGGGGAAAGGCGGCCTCGTAAACCCAGAGAGCGAGCTGGGAAAGGGTGACAAATCTGGCCAGGCTGAAGCCTCTCTAGCAAAATAAAATAAAATTAAAATAAAGAGGTGTGTGTGTGTGTGTGTGGGGGGGGGGGTATATTGTGATCCTCCCAAACTCATGGAACAAGCATCTCCCCTTTGGAGATTGCTTACAAGGACAGGCGCTTAGTTTGCAAGGAAGAGCCTTCTCTGCTTGAAAGGGAAGGGATTCCCTTCGTGCAAGATCTGCACACTGCTCCAAAGAAAGCGCCCAGGAATGCCCTCCTTTGGCAAGCTTCATTTTAGGGGAAATTGGGGGGAAATGAGTCGAGGCAAGGACAAGGTGTGGGGCTCCAGAGAGGGAAGGCGTTTGCCAGCACACACATGCACAAACAGACACAGAGGCAGAGTCTGCGCCGCCATTTTCTCCCCACACTTGTAGCTCCCTCCCAGGCCTCGCCCCGACAGAGAGCCCGTACACAGAGCTGGGAGATTTTAGCATAATCCTCCCAACTCTGGGACTGGATTAAAGTATTTGCAAAATTCTCGGGGGCGGAAGGGAGGGAGAAGGGGGAGGAGGAGGAAGATTTAACGTGCCAACCAGAACGCTATAAATTACAACTTAAAACAGGCCTTTCTTACCGAGGCCTAAAACCTGCCTTGGTCACTCATGTCCACAAAGGGCCTCTCTCTAATGTGAGTATGGGGGAGGAGGAGGAAGACATTGAAGTGAGGGTTCTCTCTCCCAGGCCCTTCTTTACCTGAGTGATGCAATTGCAATATTATGTCTGAATTGTTCTCTCTCCCATGCTCCCTTTCCAGAAATCTATCCCTGTCTGCCCAGACTTGGAAACCCAATGTTATTAATATTGGAGAAGGCAATTATATCCCCATTTGAATCTAGAGATGTCTCATGAATCATCTGTAGCAAGCTCTCCTGCTATTTTAGAAAAAGCCCTGGGTGAGAGGGCTTCCTTCATATAGGGAGAGTCTACATCCACCTCTAAGGGCCTTTCCACACAGGCATCTAACCCAGAATATCAAGGCAGAATAACCCACAGCATCTACTCTGAACTTGGTTAGCTAAGTCCACACTTAGGTTATCTAAGTCCACACATATCCCAGTTCAAAACTGATAATGTGGGATTTTAATGTGTGGAAGAGGCCTACATTGGAACAAGACCTAAAGGATACCACTTGAATCCTTACTATACTCTTATCATCCCACCCTCGCCATACACAGTCCAAAATTAAATTATTTAATCAGAATTCAAGTGAAAGAGTGTACAAAATAAGGCCTTTTATAATAAACACAAGACATTTGCTGTGAATTTTCCGGACTGTATGGCCATTCTCCAGAAGCATTCTCGCCTGATGTTTTGCCCACATCTATGTAAGGCATCCTCAGAGGTTGAGGGGTCTGTTGGAAGCTAGGCAAGTGAAGTTTATATATCTGTGGAATGCCCAGGGTGGGAGAAAGAACTCTTGTCTGTTTGAGGAAGGCGTGAATGTTGCAATTGTTCACCTTGATTCGACAACACAATGCAAGCACCCTTCCTGGACAGTCAACTGGTTTCTCTTAAGGTAGGCCAAATATATCCACAAACCAGCAGAAGGCGGCATGGAAAGGGGCATACAAGTTTGTTTATTTAAGAAAAAAAACATGGCCACCTTCTCTATCTGATATGAAGATGCCTTGGGTATCATTCCTGCCATTCATGATAATTTTGAATACATTTTCCTCATTTAATTCCCTCATCAGATTTCGACATTCTTCTCAGCACATTAAAGTGTGCAGAGGAAAGGAAGGAGGAAGCGAAACTATCTCGCCGAGAAAGCAAAGACATTGAAGGACTTCAGGGAGGGGAGAAATCGCTTGGTTGTAAGAAGATCTGACAATTGGATTATGTCGTTTCCTTGGGGGTGCGTGAGGCCGGTCAGGAAGGCGAGGTGTGTGCGTGTGCGGAGGAGAAAATGTACAGTGGAACGGATTTAATTTTCCAAAAGGGCTTATTTCTTATCTTCTGCCGGGAGAGAGAGAGAGAGAGAGGAAGGGAGGGAGGGAGGAGAGAAGGCAATAAAAGCGACAAACACCGGCTGCTAAACTAATTCCCAGCGTACAACTTCACGGGCTAATATTTTCCGGAAGTGTGTAAACTTTCTAGCTTCGGTTTTATGCATTAGGGATGCCTTTTTTATGGGGAGGGCGACTGAGGTCCAGCTGAGGCTAGCCCTTCGAAGGGCCCGCTTGCCTTTCAACGTCAATGAGAAATAAGGAAGGTTTTCTGACAAGAATTCCCTCTAGAAATCTGGCTGATGACCTTTCCAAATGGACAGGCCAGGAAAGCAACATCCACCTCCAGCCCCCACATGCACTCACTCCAGACCCCAATACTGTATTTGGACCACAACTACTAATTCTCACCACTCCTCCTCTCCTTCTCCAGGTTCCTCAAATGCCCCTCAACACATCACCAATAACCTCACCACACTAGGGAATGAATCTACTTTAAATCCGGTTTCTGCCTCCTGCAGAATTCTGGGGTTTGTAGTTTAGTGAGGCTGTTAAAGGCTCCTCCCTAAACTACAAATCCCAGAATTCTGCAGGAGGCAGAGACCGGATTTAAAGTGGATTTATTCTCTAGTGTGATGAAATAGCAAGAAGGAAAAGGCCACTTCCAACGCCTGGAGGCTCTGGGTTTAAACATGGCAGGGCTCCTCACCCCGAAAAACCACTATCATCACCACTACCACCACAATAAGCAGCTGTGCCTTTCCCCGCAAGGCAAGTGGCTGGAAAAGGAAGGGCATCATTCAAAGCTGCTGTTGGATCAGCCTCGGCTTCCATGGTCCCGCCTCGAGGAGCTCTGCGCCAAGACTGGACGCTTTTCCTGTTTCCTCTTAGTCTCTCCTCCTCCTCCCTCCAAAAAATTAAAACACCTCTGTGTATGTGTRTGTTGCGCGCGCGCACATACACACACACAGTCCTCTTCTACACATTACCAACCAAAACAAACTTCTTTTTGGGRGTTTATGGACCCTTATTATTATTATTATTATTATTATTATTATTATTATTATTATTATTATTAGAAAGACAACAAGATGAGTCCACAGCAGACAAGGTCACTCTGCTGGCTGTTGTTGTTGTTATTATTATTATTATTATATAATATTATATTATTATATAATATATAATAATTATATATATAATATTATATATATATATTATAATATAATATAATATATATAATATTATATAATAATAATAATAATAATAATAATAATAATAATAATAATAATAATAATAATAATAATGCCAAGATTGTTAGAATGAGAACAAATAATTTCAAAAGGGGGAACCTGTGTAGCAGCTATGAGACACAGGGGAGGGGCGTTCAATAAAACTCGAAGGAAGAGAGACCCCCTTCCCCACTGACCTGTGTGTGTCCTTTTGTGGATCTTGAGGTTCTCCGAGCGGGCGAAGACCTTCCCACATCCAGGGAAGGGGCAGGGGAAGGGCTTTTCTCCCGTGTGGACGCGGATGTGGTTGACCAGCTTGTACTTGGCCTTGAAGGGCTTCCCCTCCCGGAGACACTCTTCCCAGAAGCAGATGTGGTTGGACTGCTCGGGCCCGCCGACGTGCTCCACGGTGACGTGGGTCACCAGCTCGTGCATGGTGCTGAAAGTTTTGGAGCATAGTTTCTGGGGCGCCTGGTCCAGCTCGATCCACTTGCAGATGAGCTCCTGCTTGATGGGCTGCCTCATGTAGCGGAAGAAAGCCCCCGGGCCGTGGTGGGGGGCCAGGTTGAGGTTCATGCCACTGTAGCCGTGGAAGGAGGAGGCGGCGAAGGGGTCTGCCCTGGAGACTGGCACTGGCGTGAAGGGCTCAGCCCTGGCGTACATGTCTCCAGGTAGCCCCAGCCTGAGCTGTCCGTTCAGGCGCCCACCTGGAGCTTCATGGGGAGGAGGTGGCTCCTGGTGCAGTCCGGGGAAAAGCGAGGGAGTCCCGGCTTCTGCCTGGTGGGGATGGTGGTGGTGGAGGTGGTGGTGGTGAGGAAGAGCATGGTGTCCAGGGTAGTTGCTACCTGTTGTTGAGACAAACATGCCGTGGTGAGAACTTGGAGCGGCAGCAGCCTGTTGGAAAGGGAGCCCTGGCATGGCTGGACCTGTCAGGTCTCCGCTGCGCAGGAAGACCTCCCTCCCCGCCGAGAGGGCTTGGCTTGGGTGAGGGGCTGCATAAGGGACCCTGCTCGACGGCGCCGGGCCGCAGGCTCCTCTTGGGCTGGGGCCTGTCCCAGCCTGGCAGGGATGCGGCGGAGGGGCAGGGCTGAGCTTAAGGCCCGAGGAGTGAGGAGGATGAAGAGGAGGAGGGCGGTGGTGGTGGTGATGATGGAGATGGTGATGGTGATGATGGTGTCCCATGTATTCTGACAGGCATGGACTCAGTCCAAGGCGGGCTTCGGCAGCGTACTCCCCGGGGTGCGTGGGAACCATAGAGTGGGGAGGCCCAGCGAAGCCGGTCATGCTCTGAGGGGAGTGGTGACCATGGCGGTGGCGATGATGATGATGATGATGAGCCCCTGCCAAATCTACTAATTTCAGCGCCGTGTTCCGCTTGGGAAGGCCAGCAGAGTCCATTATTGGGCTCCCCCAATGCCTCCAAGCTCACTTGGTTCTACAGTTCTCAAAAAAGTCACCTGACAGTGGGGAGGAGAGGGGAGGGGTGGGGGGAAGAAAGAAAAAGAGAGAGAGAGAGAGAGGAAGAGCGAGAGAAAGTGTGGTGGACTGGAGAAACTTTTCTGAAAGTTCAACCCTCCCCCCAGTTTCCCCCTCCCTCCCTCCCTCCTCATGGTCTGGACTATTTGACTTTGTTTTGTTTTTACTGCTGCTGCTGCTGCTTACTTCCCCACAGCCCCCACAGCCCCCTCCCCACTTTCCTTTTCCTTTATTTTTGGGGGGAATTTCCCCCTCCTCCTCCTTTTTAATGCCTACGTGGAATCCCATACGCTTTGAGAAGCAGCAGCAGGATGCTGGGAGGCTACTGAATAGAGCTCCATAGATTCGTCTCCAACCCAGAGAGCTAAACAATCAGGGCGGTCGCTGATTGGCCGGAGCCGCCGGACCGACGTCAGCGATGACAGGTCCCCGCTGAAGCCTGAAAAGATTTAGGAAGGGGGAAGGAAGGGGCGGGGAGGGGATGAGTGAGGAGGACACAGGGCGCGCTCTGCGCCTGCGCGGCGGAGGTGAAAAGCGGCGGGAGGGGGTCACTTCCAAAAGTGCTCCTGCTCTTTCCCCTTCCTCTTCTTCCTTGGCTCTTCCGCTCCCCGCTCCCCCTCCCTCTCGCCGCGAAGAGCATGCCTGGCGTTTGCATTTATTATTCCTAACATTTTTGTTTTTATCTGCGTTTAACTGACAGATTAAGGGCGGCTGGAAAGTCTCCCTGGTACAAGCCAAGGGGTCCTCGGTGCCGTTTAAGCGCTAATGAGCGGTTGTTGCCAAAGGAGGAGCAAGGCCACGAGGAAGCCGCGGCAGGTCCCTCGAGTGAGGGGAAGGCGAGGCGGGCGGGGGGCTGGGGCTCCTCCTCCCTCCCTTCCCCCGTCCTTTCTCCCCCCAAGGGCTCCCCACAGCCTCCGCCATCAGCCGCGGAGGTGCTCGGAGGACGCCCTGATTCCCTGACCCCTGCGTGGCTCGGATCGTGGCTCTGAGCCCTACTGTCGCGCCCGCTGGAGTTATTTGGCCCTTTCTTCCCACCCTCTCTTTCTCTCCCTCTCTCTTTCCAAGCTCCTAACCAACAGGCACTTGTATGGAGAGCTAACAATGTGGCGAAGGCCTGGTTGGCGAAGGTTGGGGAGCGACCTGGAGGGAGTTATCAATTCCTTGGTCCTTTCACTCCCTTCCTTCCTTTTATCCTTCCTGCCTTCTTGCCTTCCTGCAAGGGCAACAACAAAGATGGAGAAAGCGACGGAGGAGAGGGATGGGGACAATGGAGCTGATCACTCTTCTCCAAAACTTGTTGGTGGGGAGTGAGTGCCACAGAAGACAGCCAAGAGAAAGAGAGGTCCTGGAGAAATGGCAAGCTCTCCTCTGTCAGGTCTCACTGTCCTACACGAGCACATCCAGGCTGTGCATGATTCGGAAGCTGGGCTATTTGGACCTTCCCTGAACTCCTGCAGGTCACCGAAACAGAAGCCTTGGAGGAAGGAGGGACCGTGATTTTGGAGACAGTGGGATGATGGTTTTGGAGATGAGGCTGATGGAGAAGAGAGAAGGATGCCTTCCAGGCCTCAGTATCCTCCTGCCAGGAGGTGCTTCCTCCACACAACGGACCTCAATTACCTCTCCTCCTCCTTCATCGCCAGCACCTTCACCATCACTTTGACCACTGATTATTTACAGCCCATGCAAATGCCCGGGCCCCCCACTTCCCCACAGAAAGGGCTCAATGAGGAAAAGTCAGGCGAGGTTCACCTGGGAAGCAGAGTGGAGCGAGGAGGGATTTAGATTTCTGACACTTGTTGAAGGTCCAGAAAACTGGACTTGAAAAAGGGAATGTGGGGTGGGATTAAACTTTCCATACACCCCATTTCAGAATTAAAACGGGGAAATGAACGCGATACTTGCAAATAGGCCTAACCCTAATCGAATATTTCCTATAATTTCAGTAAGGAGTTTGTATACCCATCTTTTTGCGGTGTAATGGAGAAATCGGAAGCATTGCATTCAATTCAGCCCTCTCCCCCATCCTGACACAAATCACACAAAATCAGTTAAAAGCAATGATAATTCTAAAATCCAGAGTTTTTTCAATGTCTCACAAATCCACTTTGGCACCATGCCTCTAGAAGAAAGCGACTGAGCTGGCTTCATGTTTCCAGTATATGTGATGAAAATAATAAATGGAGGCGTTTCTTCTTTTTCTCAAGCCTTTTCAGTGAAAGCTGGTTCCGGTGTTATTAAATGTAACACATGTCTTTTCCCCACCCCACTCTGCATCTCAAACCCTGGCCTCTCACCTCAGGACCTAAGCGCAAGACCATAGACTTCAGAATAAAATCAGGAAAAATAGTCTGTTTCCCATTTAATTTAGGACCTGAACTTTCTGTATATATAATCTAAGAGTGTTCACTTTGGATAATGAATATTTACTTTTGCTTTAAGTACACTTTTTTTAAAGGCAAATTCAATCTACACGCACAACTGAAACTGGTTCTCGTCAGCTTTTTGTCCCGGGATAATCACATTGACCAGTGACGCTCCAAAATCCCCAATCTTATTTCAATTTGCTTGGGCTAATGCCCTGTGTGTTAGTGAGGTCAATGGCATTCAAAATCCAAGACTACCCCTCACCAGATAAGCCCTACTGAAATCAACAGGGCTTTCCTCCGAGGAGACATACAGAGGAAATTAGGATGCTTCCTCTATTTCAAATGCAAGATTTTGGGTTTACGGTGGGTTGTTCCTTTCCTACATACCAATTCAGGAATAAGCTTTACCCTAAACCCAAAATCCCCATAAGCATCTCCCATACCAGCGGATTCCATCAAAGAAGGCGGTATCCATTCATATATATTAAAGAAAAACCCTTTAAAACTAACTAGGGAGTGGGAAAAATGTTGGTGGATAGCAAGGAAACTCTCGGGGAATAGGATAAACACCTCTCTCTGGTCATGGCAAAATTTAGATCCCAAAACACATAGCCTTTCCCAAATCAATAGCCGTAAAAGAAAAGCAGAAGCATGCAACATTCGACTATATAGTGAAGCAGTTACCAGGCATTGAAGTCATGGCATGATATTAAAATATCCCCGGAGGAAGAAGCAAAACAAAACCCACCCTGTTCTGAAGCTGATAGAAAATGTTGCTTATATCGTTCCTTAACAGTCACTAGTTAAAACAATTAACAAACCCAACAAATCACATTGAGGTTATTAAGCCAAACAGAGGAAAGCCTGGCACCCCAGAATATTGCAGTACTAAATTCCCCCCGAGCTGGCTTCTTTCTCGCTAAGGACTTGGAATCCTGCCTTCAAAATACAAAACACAGGGGCATTTCGTGGCACTTTTTGACCCTGGGGTAAGGCATTTTGGACCCATTTTTATCCAGATTCCAAAGCTGCAGGTAATCTAGAAGGCAGGTAAATCGCTGTGACTGAGCACATCAACACAATACAGATAGACACAGGCGCAAGCAAATACACACTTCTATGCCCGGAGGACCTGCAAAGTTGCACATGCTGCAATTAGCTGACTAGCCTTACATAACATGTTTATGTACACAATTTAAACCCCAGCAGTTCAAGACAACCATCCTTTGCCTTGAGCCACTAAAAGGAAAACAAAAACCCCCATTTGCGTTGATCTTTCCCCCTTCCCTAACTAACCACCTCCGAAGAAGATCACAGAAGTACAAGAAAAGACAGAGAAACGTTACAGGAAGCAGGACTCTGGGAGGCTGTTACTTACAAAGGTCCTGAGAGTGTGACTTCCAAATAAAGCTGTTTTCCTCATCCCTCCTTACAACCACTTCATCTCTACACACTTGACATCCTTCAATCCTGACAGTCCCCAGTCAAGGGAGACACATCTGGAACCGTTTATCGGTGGGTTTTTAAATATATATATATAGATATACATGTGTGCTACCATCGGTTGGCTTAGGCCCTTCTAAAATATTGGCATGGCTTCTTGTCAAACGCTAATGGCTTTATCCGCTCTTACTTAAAACCCTGAGGTTCCTCACAGGGGTTTTCCCCCCACACACAACCCCCCCCCCCCCTCTCCTTGCATGAATCCAATGGAAAAGAAATGGCCCATGGTGTCTCTCTCATTATATTAGGTGAAGTTAGTGCTCTCACTCCTAGCATTTGTTGTGTACCTTGGGAGACATATCTGCGTGTGTGTGTGTGTGTGTGTGTGTGTTATGAAAGCGAGAGAGACGACAGAAAGGGAGGGCAGTGGCGGTGGCTGGATAGTGCTGTACACATGACCAAAAGGCGGAGGAAATGGAAAGAGGAGGACTTGGACAAAGTTGTAGAAGGATCCAGGAGAAGGGATCCGGAAAGCTGCCTTGCTTGTCCACGTTCATCACACTAGAGAATGAATCCACTTTAAATCCGGTTGCTGCCTCCTGCAGAATTCTGGGGTTTGTAGTTTAGGGAAGCGTCTTTAACAGGAGGCAGAAACCGAATTTAAGGTGGATTCATTCTCCAGTGTCATGAGGTCAAGATGACCTCTCATCATCTCTCGTTTTGCCATCAAAACGGGTTGTGCGTTGAGCAAACCCAAGGTCCAAACGAGCAGAATAGCTCAGATTTCCACCTATAAATAATCTGGATGGCCAGAGACATCATGTCGTATATTTTAATGTCATGGCCCGCGCAGAGGGATTACTCTTCTCAAATAAATACCGATGTCAAGGAACTTGTTGACAAGGAGAGCAGCTCTGTCCAAGAATAACGCCCAGCGGCGTTACCTCGGGGCTATTAAGGCAGAAGCAGGCTCTCTACTTCCCAAATACTCCTGGTAATTCCCCTGGCCCCGAGGTCACCCCTTTCCCACCAGTTGTGGTTTTCCTCCTCCTCTCTTCGGCCAGCAATTTTCTCTACATCCCCTTTTGCTGACCGCTGCACAACTCACTTTAATTCACCCCTAGATAGATAGATAGATAGATAGATAGATAGATAGATAGATAGATAGATAGATAGATAGATAGATAGATAGATAGATAGATAGATGGATGATATCTTCAAGCCATTTCAGTACAGGAGAGAATGCACCTGCTTAAGAGGCTCGAGGGTCAACATGAATTCGAGATTCGCTTGGGGGCCTTCCACACAGCCCTATATCCCAGAATATCAAGGCAGAAAATCCCACAATATTTGCTTTGAATTGAAGGTCCTTCCAGACAGCCCTATATCTCAGAATATCAAGGTGGGAAATCCCACATTATTCGAGTGTGGACTCAGATAACTGGGTCTCAGGTGGACTCAGATAACTGGATAACTCGAATAATGTGAGATTTCCTGCCTTGATATTCTGAGATATAGGGCTGTGTGGAAGGGCCCTTAGTTGCGACTAAATCCTAGCAGGGAGACAAGGTTTCTCAGATCCCAAAGGACTTTCGATGGGAAAGACGCCGTTCAAAAAGTGGTATCAGAAGGACTAAGTTGTGCTTTTGACACTTGGCATTTGCCCCCTTCTTCCCAATCTCGGGTTTGTTTTATAATCCAGGAAAAGGGAGCTGCTTTCCATTGACACCGAGGCAATTCTGTCTGCTTAGGTGGCTGCAGGATTGCCGCTTCGGGCCGTGTTTGGCGACCTGGTCACGAACTGGGTAAAATATGGCTTGTTGTGAGTTTTCCGGGCTGCATGGTCATGTCCCAGAATCATTCTCTCCTGACATTTCTTCTGCATCTATGGCAGAGGTCGTGAGGTCTCAGCTTCACAACAGACCTCACAACCTCTGAGTATGCCTGTCATAGATGCAGGCAAAACGTCAGGAGGGAATGCTTCTGGAACATGGCCATACAGCCTGGAAAACTCATGACAACCCAGTCATACCGGGCAGGAAAGACTTCGACAATACATTGAGTAAAATATAATGAAGATTCACACATACAGAAGCCATCTTGTGCTTTTGGGAGGCTTTAGTTTGGGCGTTTCAGGAAGACATACACCTTGTTAGGTCGAAGGATCAAAAAGCCATCCCTTCAGGCAATATCTAGAGTTTAAATCTGCGGGTAGTCTGATTTTACACTAAAATCAATGTGTGGCTTTAGTGTTTCATATCTTTTTGGAGCTTCTTCCCGGCAGTTCCTGACCAAAGTCTCTTTTCTCAACCCGAATTAAAACAATGACATTTCAAAACAATGCACGAAAGTGGCTTTTGGAGAAAGAAGGAAAGTGGGGGGGGGGGGGGGGGGGGGGCGGACGGGGGGGGCGGGACTTTCTCAAAGGCCGGGCTGTAGTAGCCGTGTGTTACTTTCTTCGCCCCCCTGTCTTAAGGACTCAGGGCTGCGTTTGCGAGGAGACTCTGACCTTTAACTTTTACTTAAAGCTGCCCGATTCGCTGGGCGATTGAAACCCGCAGAAACTTTTCGCCCGGTTCTATGTCCCTCTCGATGACGGGTCATTGCGTCTTTGCAAGGCGATGGTGACCTTTGGGGAGACAGTCTCCGTTGCCCATGGAAGTCTTGGGAGGGAGGAATTTCCACCCACAGCTCCCGCAACCCCATTAAAGCCGCCTCCAAGGGCAGTTTTAGATGCTCGACTCCTGAAATTGGAGACTTGCTAAAGAATGGAAGCAATGGGAAGTGAGAGTGAAGGGATCAGCCCGAGCTGGAGGTTTTGCTAGGCTGGGCTGGGGAAGAAAAACAATTAGCTTCGAGATTTCTGTCCTGCGTTTCAAGGGAAATAGCTCCATTGAAAAACCCAAATTATCTGAGGGATTTAGCTGAGTTGTCGGTGGGCTGAAGGACCACAACAGAAAGGGGAAATCCGAGTTCCCCTGTCTCCTATGGAACTATCAGAGCCTGGCGAAGGCCATTCAAAATCAGGCAGGAATCGATCAGGAATCAGACTCAGAAGGGTGGGAGAGGCAGCCTGAGGATTCATTGCGGGCTCCCATTGAGGGACAGATTCTGAAGCGCTTCTGAAGCTCTTCCCTTCCCTCTTCCCCTTTATTCCTGACAGGTAATTTTCGATCTAAGTAGGCGAAGCCCGGGAAGGATGACAACTAACCAAGTGAGAAAGCAGAAGTGGTTCCCAATTGTGAAAGCAGGGCATCCTCCTGTCCTCTCCCTTCGCTCAGTTTAAAACCTGAAGTATCCAAGATCAACCCAATCAGATGCTTATTTCAAATAGAATACTTAATCCACTGCCTCCAGATTAAGGTATTCCTGTCAGATAAGATGTCAATCAATGCCCTACTTAAGTCCTCGCCTGGTGGAAGCTTGGAGAGCTACCATGTTGTGGAAGGCTGGGACGCAAGGTAGCGACGACGATACGTATCATGTAAACCCTATCGCCAAGATCAAAGTCTTCCTCCTTTAATGGGATCCAATGCACGTCAAAGCTCATTCCAATCAAATCGCCCGTAAATGAAGGCAAGATGAATATGTCATATCATAATGTGACAGTGCAATCACGGAGGGTCAGGGGTTATGGTTTCAGGGAGCGAGTCGTCAAATATTAATTCTAGAACCACCAAATGATTAGGCGTAGAGCCGGATTAAACCATGGCTGGTGGTAGGGTATATAGCAGGTTTGTGTTTAGGCAAGTTAAACAGGAAGGGTGGGGGAATGCATATTGAACTTGGTCTCTTTTTTGAAAAAAAAAGTCATATATTTCAACTTACTTGACTGTTCTAGAAGGTTTCTCTGAAGTCGTTTTCTTTTCCTCATTACAAAGGCAACCTTTTGCTTTATTTTCTGATTTGATTCCTGTTTAGAAAAAAAGGAGTAGCAGGTTGTTGTCTTTTTTTAATTAAAAAAAGAGATACTTGCAGGAACACTTCAGCAAGCAAGAGTCCAAAAGTGGCAGGCTAAAACCTGAAACCTTTAGCCATGGCTTATACCGAATGAGAGACTCCCCCTTGGAACATAGAAGACTGGGCAACTTGGAAGGTGCTGAACAGACTGCGCTCTGGCACCTTGAGATGCAGAGCCAACCTTAAGAAATGGGGCCACAAAGTGGAGTCCACGACATGCGAGTGTGGAAAAGAGCAAACCACAGACCACCTATTACAATGCAGTCTGAGACAACAAGCACAATGGAGGACCTCCTTATAGCAATACCAGAGGCAGTCCAAGTAGCCAGCTACTGACCAAAGGACATTTAATATCATTGCCAAGTTTTCAAACTTTGTGTTTTAAAAATACATTATAACGGTGTCCTTAATTCCCTTCTGATACGATAAATAAATAAATAAATAAAAAGTATGTGGTTTATATGAGAGTAATAAATAATTTGAAAATCGTGTGAAATCTTCTCCCCACCCCACCCCTCCACCCCCAATAAAAGCCTCACATTGTTTTGGATCTCAGTCTTTGTGTCTACAGAATATGGCAGAAATTTAAAAAGGGGGGAGAAAGAGAGGCAGAGAACCTGCTTCCAATAAAACATTTCAAAAGTTTGTGCATATTTTACAGATCAACCCTAGGGTTGATTTAAAGAAGGAGATAGGAAAGGAGATTTTCCTCAGTTCTGCTTTGATCTGACACACACACCTCCTGGCAGAGAATGGGGGAAAGTTACCACCGACTTGGCTGCATTGTTTATGGGCTTTTCAGGGCTGATATTAAGCTTGGTCCCATTTGCAAGACTCCTGGAACCAAAGATGCTCTCTCAGGTTTAAATCAAACAGCATCGGGATGGATGAAACGCTTTTAAGTTGCCGCTTTCCCACCTGTCTCCACTTTTCAAAGGGGGAACCAATGGCCTGCCTGTGCCAGATAGCACAGCTCTTGCTACTGAGGCTTAAGCCTTTCCTTGAAAAACAACAACAGAGGCAACTATAACAAATATGTTTTTTTTAGAAAAATAGAAATACAAATGGCAGTAACTCCATCAACAAATGTATACAGCAAGTAATAATGTGCAAAACTGACAATAACCTTGGAACCAATACTAGCAAGAGGACATGCTTTCCATGACTGAATATGGTAGCTGCAAAAGCTCTTTATGGGTATGGAAAAGATGTACCTGGATGGGTGGAGAGGAATAATATTTAATAAGAAATGCACACACACACACACACAAATGGAGTAGGAGGGCATGCCTGTTAGACTTTTTAAAAACCAATAAGTGGGAAATAATAATGATAATGGTATTAACTATTGTATCAATAAGGTCGAAAACTTTTCATCTTAAAAGTATTGATCTCAGATGTTTTCACCTATTTGAGTGCCAATATTTTTTTTAAGTTGCCCAGGTCTTGTAATAGGACAAGGAGAACCCTATTGATTCCAAAATAATGAAAAAAATAACTTTCATTGGCCAACTATTAAATTAAAAATATAATTAATATTGAAGTAGTATGAATAAGAAGGAGATACACTATTGGGTAGGGTTAGGGTTAGGCTGTTTCAAGGTGCTTCCTTAATTCTCGAATGCAAAACTGCCAAACATGCCTCCATCTCTCTGATTAGCACTTATCCCCTCCTATTTTGAGTTCAAAACATACTTTCCCTAAAAGTGATGACATTAAAGTCTAACATAAACACCTTCTGCTTCTTGAAATAATTCCTATATATGTCTTTCATGATTCCACGAGTCAATTAAATATGTGTGTGTGTGTGTTCGTGTATATATGTGTGTATATGTATATGTGTCTGAGATGAACAATTTCTGATATAAAATCAGTAAGTCTTGGGAATTTGGTGTGTGTGTGTATCACACACACAGAGAGAATTCTACTACTAGTCAGATAATCCATCGCCTCTGTTTACAGTATCAGAAATAGTTTGTCCATAAGCAAATAGCTACTTGCAGTAGAACTTTTGGTGCAACTGAACATTCAGATCAGTTTGTTGCAAACCTGTGGCAGACCCACCTGAATCTCAAACACAAGGAGAACCTGACCTGCAAAGACACCTGGTTGCTGATCTTGGGAAATTGCAAGGAATCTCCCACCCATAAATGTTATATCTCATTTTGGAAGTATCAACAATAATTTCTAAAAAGCTCATTCATAGAGAATACCCATAGAGGGCCCAAGATATTCTTCAATATCGGACTCTCTCCTGAGGCATGAAGGTTTGGCCAGATTCATCTTTGAAAAGGTTTTCCTATTGTTTGGGTGGGAGAAACTGCCATCAGCTGTTTCCCTGGATGGAGATTTAGGGCCCTTCCACACAGTCCTCTAACCCAGAATATCAAGGCAGAAAATCCCACAATATCTGCTTTGAACTGTGTTATTTGAGTCCACACGGCCATATATCCCAGTTCAAATAAGAAAATGTGGGATTTTATTCAGCTGTGTGGAAGGGCCCCCAGATTATCAAGGCAGCAAATCCCACAATATATGCTTTGAAGTGGGTTATTTAAGTCCACACTGTCATATATCCCAGTTCAAAGCAGATAATGTGGGATTCTATTCATCTGTGTGGAAGGGGCCTTAGAAATCCAGGTAGGACTCGTTGCTTGAAACCCAAGAGCGAGGCTACTCCTCGGTCCAGCCCCCCAGCCTAACCCCTCTCCAGCGCCGCACACTCGAGCCATTGTGCCGGATACTGTTGGCCTGGCACATGTTCCCGGTCGCAGGTCAGAGGTCAAACTCCAGGGTGTATCTAAAGCCGGCCACTTCAAGAGCTCAAGCCTTCAACACTTATCCAAACTGATTAACTACACGATCAACAGTAGCCGAGGAAATGAAGCGGGCTTCACCTCTGCCGCCACTGGGAGGGACGGCCAGACCCCTCAGGAGGAATGGGCTGAAAATGTGTGTGGAAGGGGATGGGGGGGGGGGGGAAGCCTCAGGAATCCCCCTCTGTTTCTCTTCAGACTGGGAAAATTCTCCTCTCCCGATCCCTTTYCTGTCCTTTTAGTAAAACGAACCTCTTTTTAATCAATAGAAATAAAAATGTAATGATMGTTTGTGGAATTAACACAACTCAAAAACCACAGGACCAGTTGACACCAAATTGGGACACAATACACCTATCGGGCCAACGAGTGACCATCACTCATAAAAACACTGAAGAACACAGCAGAAGAGACATAAAAAGCAAAAAAAAAAACCCCACCCCAAAAATACATTACAATGCATGCACAAAACCACATACATACACAAAGACACACACACACAAATATATACAGACTGGGCCACAGCAACGAGTGGCAGGGGACGGCTAGTAAAGCAAAAATAATGTTGCAGGATATGTCGCTTTTTGGAACCAAGAAAACCTGAGGTCTGGCTTTGCAAAACCGGACTAAGGAAGCTCTTAGGGGGCTCTCCTTCCTAGGGTCAACACCAGAAGTCGAAGTCAACTTGACAGCAATTAACAACACAAGTACTAAGACAAGTTGGAGTTGTCTGTGGAGAAGGCAGGGGAGAAAAGCTCAGTTAAAGGGAAAATCCCCGGTCGAGTGGGGGTGGAAGGGCTCCATTGTGGGAAGCGACAGCATCTTAGCCACTAAACCTTGATGCACAGACTGGGTTAACTCTTTGTTCGCGAGGTATTTGGGACAGAGAGTGAACCAGAGAGAGAGAGAGAGAAGCCAGACCGAGTTCCCAAAGGGCAAGACCTGGCCCGACCAATCACAGTCCCCGGGTTTCCCGGGCATCTCTCGAGCGAAAAGCCAAAGGCAAAAGGCGCGGGGAGGAGAGCGCTTCTCCAGGGCGCACAAGGGGGCAGTCCCGAGCGCCCTCGGCTTAGGATTCGGCTTTTGGGTCCCTTTCCCCTTCCATGTCCTGACTATCACGGCTTCCCTACATCTCTCCAGTTTCTCCACCCGCCTCCTGAACTGGGATCCTTCCAGAAAAATAAATAAATCAAAAAACAAAAAAACCAGAGCGCCTGGAAAGCCCTGGCCTGGATATTTTGGGGAAGGGAGGAGCCCCTCATCCCCCTTTGGCTCGGGAAGCTCGGACACCCAGCATTTCCTTCAGCTTCCCGCGGAGAAGTGGGTCCCAAGCTCTTACCCACGCGCCTGAAAAAGGGCCAAACCACTTGCACCTCGTGTGTGTGTGTATGCGTGCGCGCGCCGGGAGGGGGGTTATTTTGGTTGATATCCTCACATAACAAGGTTTTTGGAAGTGAAGCATTGCCTCCCCCCCTCCCAGTCCACACTTTCCGCACACTTTCCCCGTCCCTTCCACCCTCCACCTTTCCCCACGTCAGTGACTTACCCCACTCCACCTGTTGAAGCAGAGGTCCCCTCATTTCTGCTCACTACTGACCAAAGCTAGAGAAAGGGAAGGGAAAGGATGAAGGAGTGAAAGGCAAAGGGAGAGGAGAGGCTTGGGGGTGGGTGGGTGCGTGGGCAGGCAGGTGGGTGGGTGAAGGCTAGGTGGGCTGTGGTGACATCAAGCCCAAGCAAAACACCTCTTGGGCGACTCCATCGGGGCTGCCATCCTTCCTTTCTTCTCCTCTCGCCATCTGAGAGCAGTTGGGCAATGAATGTATGGCGAGGCAGGAAAGCACCACCGGGGTGATATTTTAGTGGCTTCTATGACACGTTGGTGCATGGGGCTTTGGACTGGAGCAGCTCTCGCTTCATGCAGAGAGCCTGCCGCAAATCCCACTTGATAAGTTCTGCAGCCCACGACCCCTTGCCCACAGCACGGCTGGCTAGCTCTCTCTCAATCTCTCTCTCTCACACACACACATACACACACATGCCACGAATGGACTGGCCATGAATGTACATACTACAGCCCCAATATACAAACAAACAAACAAACAATTGCCTCGTCCCCTTCTGTGAACCTTAGAAGAGCTTTTAAGTTCTGATGCCTTGTGCTAAACACAAGGAAGAAATAGGATCTTTCCCTCCTTCCCTCTGGGACAAAATGTTCCCGAGGCTCTCGACCCTCGCCCTGGGGTGAAATGACAGGGGGACCCTCCATCCCTCCAGCCCAATCCACCTCATGTATCCCCAGACGTATTCCTTATGGCCAAGAGACACTCCAGACCTGTTGCTTTAGGACCCTGGAGATTCTTTTCTCCCCTTTCCTCTCCTCGTTTGCAAGGCTTCACTCTCTTTCTTATGTTTAATAGAAAATACCTATGCTTAATAGAAAATAAAGCCTCATTTGCAAGGCTTCATTCTCTTCCTTATGTTTAATAAAAATACCTACCGCGTTGCCTAAAGTATTCTGAGATCCCCTTTTCCTGTCCTGAACCAGCAGCGAAATCTGATCCATAACATTCATGGCACTGCGAGTGATAACGAAAGGAAAGAGTGCTTTCCTTTCCTAACCCATTTCTCAAACCGTGCCCTCAATATATTTCCCCCAAACGTGTAACTTTAAAATTCAAAACATTATATAACGGAAAGGCTGAATTATTTACCAAACTGGAAAGATTGGTGTGGAAAGACGCAATGAAATCACACATAAAAGGTCCAAAACCTCGAAGGCTCTGACTTTTGGATAACTTTTGTTCCCTCCCTCCCCTTTTCTCCTTTCTTCCCTCTATTTCTGGATACTAAAAACATGTGGTCCAAAAGGATATCCCATATTTAAACATCTATAATCCCAGTTGACCCAAATCATAAATAAATAAATAAATAAATAAATAAATAAATAAATAAATTCCCAGGCCCAAGTTGATTTCCTTCATGAGCTGAGCCACAAAGATGGTCTCTTTTGAAAGGACAATGCTACTCCATCTCGACAATCATTTTAATATATAGTCAATGGTTCTTTGTAAGAAGAACAAAGAGGAACTATCCCTAGTTTCTCAATAGGCTTGAGCTGGGGAAAAGACAGGTTAATCGAGGGGTTGCATCTAGAAAACAAGCAAGGGTTGTATGTTTGCACTGAATCCAAATGTCTGCCTTTTCCTAACTAAATCAAAGGGAGTGTTATTTCTTTTTCTGCTCACTCATCTGGAGGTAAGTAAATTTTCTCTGGCGATCACAAGCTTGGTCAGCAACAAAGGCGCCGCCTGCTTTTTCCACCGTCCTGGTGTGGCAAGTTGAGGAATTTCAATAAATGTGACAAGGGTGACTGATTTGTGAACTAGAAAAGGGTTGAGCGTCAGGAAATTTATATTGGTCCCATCTAGCAAGGATTCCTAATACATTATAAAACCCCAGGATCCGAGAACTAACTCCATGCAGCACAGAAGAGACAAAAACTACTTTGGGAAAATTCACAGAGTGTCTGTGTGTGAATGTGTGTGTGTATACACACACATACATACACAGATACCCCTGAATTAAAGCCACCGCGTCAAAAGGAAGAGGAAAGGGAGAGAAAGCAAGAAATAAAGTCAGGGTGGAAGAAGAAACAACAAGAGCACTCACTACACACACACAAAGCAGAAAGTTGAGCACTCTCACCCACCTGCCTTTTGATGGGTGCTATAGAAATATAAATAAATATATATACACAGAATGATGGGATGGAGTCGTTTCCCCCCACAGAAATCACAGCCTGTTGTTTTAAAAGCCAAAGCTAATGTAAGGCAGCCCAAGCGTTTTGGAGAGCCTCACAGACAAAACAAGGAGGAAGCATTGCGCCCTGAAAAGGACCAAGTCACAAAAGGACTTCCCTGGTCAAGCCCCTTTTCAGAAAAAAGTTGTTCAGTGTCGTTCAGAGGTCTTGATCGCCAGGAGCCCATCACCAGCATCAAAAGAGGGGAGGGGGAGGAGAGGGAAGGAAGAAAGGAGGAAGGAAGAAAGTCAAACACAACACCAGGAGCAACACCTTTCTCAGTCTCCACTGAAGAGGTACAGAAAGAGGCCTTTGGGCATTTTTTCGAGCTGGAAAAAAAATCCTGCCTATAGATCTATACACCTATATATCTATACAGTATATGTTTATGTATATAAAAGTTGGTACTCCTGCACCAGCCTGTTTGTCAAAAGCGATGTCAATGAGCTTCACAATACCTGGGATTGATGAGCGGAGCTGGCCAATCAGGAGGGAAGAGCTCTTTTGCGCACCCTTAGTTGGAGAGGAAGGAGGGAGTTGCAAGGGAAAGTAGGAACGGGCAGCAGCCAATCCGCGGCGACGCCGGCCTTCACGTCGCCCCGCCCCCTTCTCCCATTCATCAAGGGAGGGGGGGCGGACGGTGTCGTCTTTTCAATTCATTTATCTGCAGGAATGATTGCCGCTATCAGTCTCGCGTTCACCGCCCGGCTGAGGAGGTGAAAGTTTCTCCCCAGGAAGATAAACCGCAAAAGACAATATTGTGCATGATTTGCGCCTCTTTTTTTTTTTTTAAACAAAGCAGGGGGAAGAAAAAAAAGAGGAGAGCGGAGGGGGAAAAAAGCCAAAGGAAGGAAGGAAGGGGAAAAGAGAACGGAAGGGGGGAAAAAGAGTGGAAGAAGCTGGAAGAGAAGAGGAAAAATTGCGCGCTCGTTCGTTCCATTCCTCTAACCTTCTCTCTATTTTTTTTCTTTTTGAAAGGCAGAACGGGAAGAAGTTTTATTTTTGTGCTGAATCCCCTCCTCCCCCTCCCCTCCCCCACTCCCCCCCTTTGCCTGCACGTTGCTTGCTTCCTCCTCTCTCTCTCTCTCTCTCTCTTCACTATTGTTATTTGCGAGCGCGGTCTTTTGAATTCTCTCCCTCCTCCTCCCCATTTTGAAAAAAAAATCCCGAAAAGTGCAGCTTGAGAGGAGAGAGAAGAAGAGGAGGGGGAGGAGAAGGAGAGGAGGAAGAAGGAGAGAGAACGAGAGAGGGGTCGGGCGGTTTGTTTTTTTCTTCCCCCCTCTCTGTCTTTCCTCTGCGTGATCCGATGCCTGTTTTCTTCTCCTTCTTCCCCAATTTTTGCCGCTCCTAGCTCCCTCTTCTCTCTCTCTCTCCCCCCCCCCGCTCTGCTTCCCCCACCCTCTCCCCCTCTTCCTCCTCCTCCTATTTGTGTGTGCTGCGTGCGTGTCCCTCCGTCCGTGCGTGTGAGCGCGCGCGTGTTTTGGGTTGCGCGGATGCCGAAGGGGGAGTTCCCGAAGTGGCGGTGCTGGTGCTGCTGCTGCTGAAGCGGGGCTGGTCGCGCGGACTTTGGCGAGAGAAAGAGACAGGCAGAGAGAGGCGAGGCGAGGCGCTTGGGATTGGCGGCAACGGCGGAGGCGCTTCTTCCTCCTCCTCCTCCTCCTCCTCGTAGGCTCTGAGCTTTTTCGGCCTCGCTTCTGATTCTCCTTCGGCGAGGGCAGCTCCGTCCTCCTCCTCCTCCTCTTCGTCCTCCTCCTTCTCCCCCCGCTTCTTCTTCCTCTTCTTCCTCCTCCTCCTCCTTTTCCTCGTCTTCGGCCCGGCGCTTGGGGCGACCGGGAGGCGGGCAACGATGCTGCTGGACGCGGGCCCGCAATACCCGGCCCTCGGCGTGACCACCTTCGGCTCCTCGCGGCACCACGCGGCGGCGGCGGCGGGCGAGGTGTCGGAGCGCGACGTGGGCCTGGGCCTGAACCCCTTCGCGGACGCGGCGGCCGGGATGGGCGCCTTCAAGCTGAACCCGGGCGGGCACGAGCAGACGGCCTTCGCCTCGCAGGGCCCGGGCTACGCGGCGGCGGCAGCGGCGGCGGCGCTGGGCCACCACCACCCGCACCACCCGCACCACCACCCGGGCCACGTCGGCTCCTACTCCAGCGCCGCCGCCTTCAACTCCACGCGGGACTTCCTCTTCCGCAACCGCGGCTTCGGCGAGGCGGCGGCGGCCAGCGCCCAGCACAGCCTCTTCGCCTCGGCGGCGGCGGCGGCAGCGGGCGGCTTCGGGGCCGGGCACGGGCACAGCGAGGCGGCGGGGCACCTGCTCTTCCCGGGGCTGCACGAGCAGGCGGCCGGGCACGCCTCGCCCAACGTGGTCAACGGGCAGATGCGGCTGGGCTTCTCCGGAGACATGTACGGGCGGCCGGAGCAGTACGGGCAGGTGGGCAGCCCGCGCTCCGAGCACTACGCCTCGCCCCAGCTCCACGGCTACGGGCACATGAACATGAACATGGCCGCGCACCACGGCGCCGGGGCCTTCTTCCGCTACATGCGCCAGCCCATCAAGCAGGAGCTCATCTGCAAGTGGATCGAGCCCGAGCAGCTCGCCAACCCCAAGAAGTCCTGCAATAAAACTTTCAGCACCATGCACGAGCTGGTGACCCACGTCACCGTGGAGCACGTCGGCGGGCCCGAGCAGTCCAACCACATTTGCTTCTGGGAAGAGTGTCCCCGGGAGGGAAAGCCCTTCAAAGCCAAGTACAAGCTGGTCAACCACATCCGCGTCCACACGGGAGAGAAGCCCTTCCCCTGCCCCTTCCCTGGATGCGGGAAGGTCTTCGCCCGCTCCGAGAACCTCAAGATCCACAAAAGGACGCACACAGGTCAGTGGGGAAGGGGGTCTCTCTTCCTTCGAGTTTTGTTTCACCGGTTTTGTTCCCCCTTTGAAAATGAGTTGTGGCGAGGGTCCTCTTCCCATTCCAACCCTTGTGGCAGGAATCATAGGAGCCCACCATAGTAAAATAACGATAAAGAAAAACCTCCTGTGGAAGAGATAACATTGGTTTGTGTGTTTTAGTTCTTTTGATCACTTTTGGGGTACTAGTGCTGGGTCATACGCTGCTTCTGATAAGTTACTCTGCTGTGTATTTATGAGGAGGGTCTTTTGTTAAATAAGCCCACTCACCCAACAAAAAAAAAACAGAAAGAAGTTTGTTTTGGTTGGAAATGTGCAAGCGTTCCTGGAGAGAGATCCTTCTTCTTAAAAGAGAGTAGCTCCAAATAAATTAAAAGTTTTTTGTATGTGAAGTTGAGCAGAAGGAAATGAGAGAGAATGAGAGAGAAACTCTGCTTTTCTGCTGCGGGAAGGCGTTTCTCTCCCTTTCCAGACAGAAACGCGATTCAGCTCAAGTTTCGAAAATTAATTTACACCGTAAACTCAACACTGTTTTCCCTCCTGTTCTCTTTTTCAAGCTGGATGGGGGGAAGAATGAGAAAAGAGGCGAGGGAGGGGGTTGGGGGAGCCAAAGTGCCAGCGGTTTGAATGGTGAAATTTATTGGTTTTCATTAATCGGTAGCCGAAGAGGCTGTTTTCACAAGGAGGAGTCCTGCTGAATATATATGGCTCGTGAATCCAGCGGTTTTCCTTATCAGTTCTCTTCCTTGTAAATATTTTATTATGTGGGGAAATCGTAAGTAAAAGGAGCTGCGAGATTGTATCTGTGACTCCAGGGTTGGGGTCGCTGAGACCTCCCTCTGAATCCTCCACCTCTTCTGCATTTCCTCCACCGACCTTGTTTACCCCCTTTCCTCGAGTGTTTATTTAGAAATATAAAGAAGGAAGGATCAGAATGTGAGGTTGTATTTATTATTATATGAGAAGGAGAATTAACTGGAAGTCTAACCGTTGTACAGAGATAGGAGGTTAGGTGAATACTGCGGTTTAAATCAAGTGGAGAGGCAAAGTAATGTCGGATTGAGCCGTGAGATGGACAACTCGCTTCTCTCGGCCCAAGCCTGGCCTTGCTTTCAGTTTCAGTTTGTGAGAAAACGCCAGCCTTTGGTGTTTAGCCTGGAGCCAATGATGGAAAGAAATAATATATTTTCCCCCTATTTGTTTACCTTACCAGGCACTGTTTTGCAATGTTTACATGTCGTAAAAGCTACCGCTAGAAGGGGGCGGGGTTAATAAAGCCCCCCAAAAGCGCCCGATTTCGACTCAGGACGACTTTGTTTGTTTTCGTCCTAGGCGAGAAACCCTTTAAGTGTGAATTCGAGGGCTGCGACCGGCGCTTCGCCAACAGCAGCGACCGCAAAAAGCACATGCACGTCCACACCTCCGACAAGCCGTATCTGTGCAAAATGTGCGACAAGTCCTACACGCACCCGAGCTCCCTCCGCAAACACATGAAGGTAAATTTGGGCGCCTCGGGTGGGCCTGGGTGCCACCAAGGCTTGGGGGCATTTGGGGAGGGGGAAGGGACTTGGGGAGAGGCAGACTTGGGGTGTTTGTGAAGCTCAGGAAAAGTCTCGGCCTTCCTGCTCCGAAAACTGGGCCTCTTTCCCAGGCCCTCTCCAGAAAGGACTTTTGGCGAAGGGCTGAGAGATCCACGCTGCTCGAGATCTCCAATCTTGACGATGTAAACAGACCTCGGTTTGGGTCTAGTCTGGGATTATGCTTTGCTCCAAGGGGAAAGGTTTCAAGAAAAGTCTCAGTGGGGAGTCTGAAGGGATCCGGGCAGGCGTGGCAACTCCGTGGATCGTGTATTTGTGCTAGGAGCAGCCCTTTTGTGTATCCAAGGCCCAGGGCCGTGTTTATCTTCCATGGCAATTCATTGAAAATGGCTGGGGAGAGACTCTTCACTTTACAGTGGAGAGCTCAAGTTTTCTATGGGAACTATCCACGTCCCGTGTTTCGAACTTCACCTCCCCCCCCCCTCTCTTCCTTTTCCCTTCCTTCTCGTTTGGCCTTGAGAGTTCAGTTTAGGGACTGAACTCAGCGCTTTAACGTTTTGGGTAACTCTTGGGTAACTCAGGCTGTGTATATGTATACTCTTCTTGTTCTGCTATCTCGATAGATTGTACACAACCTTGCAACTGTGTCGATGTGTGTTTGTGTGTGCGAGCGAGCTTGCACACAGCCCAGTGGCCTCCCCAGAGGCTCTCAGGCTCTTCCCTTTGTTACTCCCTTCTCTGTTTTCTAGGTCCACGAATCTTCCTCGCAGGGGTCCCAGCCTTCTCCCGCGGCCAGTTCGGGCTACGAGTCGTCAACCCCCCCAACCATTGTTTCTCCATCCACAGAAAACCAGACCACAAGCTCCTTATCCCCTTCGTCTTCAGCAGTCCATCACACGTCCAGCCACAGCACGCTCACGTCAAATTTTAACGAATGGTATGTTTAAAAACAAACAAAACGAGCGAACGAACGCAAACCCACCCTATTTAAAAGACTCGGAGATTTAAGGAACACTTTGAAACAGAATTTTGGGGTGCGTGTTTGGTTTGGTTCTTCCCCCCTTTCCCTTTTCAGTGCTGCCCACAGACCCAGGACCGAATCAAATCAAGATGATTCCCCCCACCCACCATTTTTTTCTGGCTTGCTTGCTTTCTCTTTCTCTGTTTCTCTCCTGCCTCTCTCTCTCAATCTCTCTCTTCATTTCTGCTGTTTTGCTTTGGTTTTGCGCCTTCGTTCAGGGCAAAGCCTTGGAAAGCAAAGGGGGTTGGTTTTTTCTAGCGTGCGTGAGAAGGGCTGGGTGACCACCAGGCCACCTTGCCCACTTGCAGGGCTTTGAAATGGAACCACTGGCTGGAGTTCTCCAACTGCATGTCTCTTTTTGGGCAGCGGCCTTGTTGTTTTTCTTCTCCCTCCCCTGTAAATACAGAAATACTAGCTTACCATGTACTGTTTGATTTTGTAAATAGTTATACCACAAATTGAATAAGGGGATATGTGGAATTGTGGTCTTTGCATATATGTGGGGGGGTGGGAGGGGAGTGAGGGTGGGGGAGGGGAACAGGGAGGAGGAAGAGGCGATTGAGAGGGGGAGGGGAGGAGGGAGGAAGTAGCAAAATCAACTATTTGTACTGAATGGCAAGGATGTTCTAGTAAATGTGTACCAAAATGTGAAATTACTTTGTATTATTACAGTCTAAACGTCGACCTAACAGAATATTATTGGTATTAATGTGCTTTTTTCCTTTTGTATAAAGTGCAAACATTTCGTCCCAAAGTCCAGTCTAAGTAGTGCAGTAAAATGTTGTTTATTACACTGTCCTGTCAAGAAATTCGTATAGTGAAAGCCTGGATCTACGTGTCAAACTGTTACATTTGTTTATGTAAAGTGATATTAAAAAAAAAGAAAAGAAAGAAAAAAGCTGTAAACTATAATCTGTCCATTGCTTTTGGCAAGTACAACCACATACTGTATATATTTCCTAATTTCCATATTTATCCGCATGTAAAGGTCCGGTTATACATGTTACAGATATTCAATATTTATGGCTAGAAGAACTGGTATGTACACTTTAGTTTACAGAACTGTTTGGTAACATTTCGTACATTATTAAAGATTCTGAAATCCCACAATCTGTGGCAGGAATCCTTATTGACTCAGCCTGGGGCTGCAAATTAGGGAGTTTTTAGGACTGTAAACTCTAGGCCGGACTAAGGACCCTTCGCTCCCATTCCCACCCCACCCTCGCCCCCACTAGTCTTCTCTTATGTCATCACTAAAGCAGTAATGTGGAAATAAATGTGATGAATGCACTTGTCCCTGCTGGCATGAGGGTAGTATGTAATTAGTATTTATGTAAAAGGCCTATGAAACAAAAAAAAAGTTTTTGGACGCAATATAATTTAAACGATCATTGCAGACATAGAATAAACGGCAAGAGCAGCAATAACCAACCCCATTAAAGCAGAACATCCATAGATTGTATATGGCCCATGGATTTTAATGGTGGCATATCTTGCCAGGAAAGAAAGGGAGGAAAAGAAGGACAGGGAGGCCTGGCTTGCCATACAAACATGCCCTTTGTTACAGCCTGGAATCGGTTCGAGGGGAAAATGCTGTATATTTTAGACCACAACTCTTCTTAAAAGCTTCCCAGTCTCAAGGAAATGTTCTATTTTTATTGTCGAAGGCCTTCGTGGCCGGAATCACTGGTTTGCTATGAGTTTTCCGAGCTGTATGGTCATGTCCCAGAAGCATTCTCCCCTGACGTTTCGCCTGCATCTGTGGCAGGCATTCTCAGAGGTTGTGAGGTCTGTTGTGAGGTTGTGAGAAAGAACTCTTGTCTGTTGGAAACCCCATTTTCCTAGTTTCCAACCTCTGAGAATGCCTGCCATAGATGCAGGCGAAACGTCAGGAGAGAATGCTTCTGGAACATGGCCATACAACCCGGAAAACACACAACAACCCTGTTCTCCTTTTCCTCCTAATGCTATCTCTCACCCTGAAGGGAAAAGATAGCAACAACAATAACAACAACCAATGTTATATTTCTCCAGGCCCGAAGCTGATTTTAACCAATTGTTTTAGTTGTTCTCTCCCTTCCCTCCCCTTCCTATAATTTTGCCCGAGTTAATAGTTTCGTACAGCAGTAACAACAGTAAAAATAAACCAACCAGGATGGGGTGGAGGTGGGGGTGAGTTGATAGACTTTGCTGTTTTCTTTTGTTTTCATTCCCATTTGCTTAAGAAATTCGTTCCATTGGCTGGCGGTGATACAGTAAATTTGTAAATGAGGAGACAATATATATATATCTGAAGAAGGAAAAAAAATCTAAATTACTTGTGCTTAATGGCTGTGGCAGAGCGCCTTCTCTCCCCCCCCCCCCCCCCTAAATCACATTGTCTCCCTTGCAGTTTAGTTTGATAGATTTGCCATCCGTGGTGCTTCCGTTAACTTGGCGACGCTGGTAGCTAGCAACCGCTAGGCTTTGTTCCTCGGTGTAGCTTGCATGATCGCCCCATTAAGCAGACAACATATCAACAGACAACAGGGATCATGAGCTCGGCTGAAGGAAGCGCCCTGGGTTCGGGAGAGCAGGGCGCCGAGTGGCATTGCATCTGCTGACCCCCTCGTGGGCCAACAGGGCCTTTGGGCCTTTGAGCAGATATTGGGGGAGAAGGCCTAGACAGACAACAGAGTTGGCCAGACAGCCAAGCCCAACATTCAAGGGGATGAGGAGCACTTGGAGGTCGCAGGAGGAGGAAGCCTGCGGGCTGGCCTCCTTCCTCCCACCATCAAGTTTTACTAAGTCTCTGAGAACCAGGCACAATATACATTGCGGTCATGGCATGCTGCCCTTATTACTTTGAAGGGAGAGGTTTTGTTTGGATCCTTTCTGGAGAGGTTGAGTTGACACTCCCCAGGCCTGGCTCCAGCTGAGGTTGCGCCTTGTTGTTCAAAAGTAGGCCTCTTGTATTGAAAGACAGACAGATAGATAGAAAGGCGGCAAAGCTGGTTGGTTCTTGCTTGCTTTTTTTTGCTTTGTGTATGTGTGTTTTTAACTTCACTTTCTAGAAAACGTTGTTTTCCTGTCGAGAAGCCCGTCTCTGGGCTGCTTCCCTGCCAAGAGCGCCACCTTGCAAAGGCCTACAGAGACTGGAGAGAAGTTGAGAGAAGCCTAAAAGCAAACGGCAGCCCGAGGACAAGGAAAGAAATGCAGTCCCCTGACAAAGTACAGACTGGGTTGCTGTGAGTGTTCCGAGCTGTATGGCCATGCCCCAGAAGCATTCTCTCCTGACGCTTTGCCCGCATCCTCAGAGGTTGTTAACAGACTCCTCTAGATCTCCAGCTTGGACTGTAAAGAAGCAGCCTCAAATAGTCTAAATCTGGAGTCAAAATGGAAAGGATGAGTAGATCTGGGAGCGAAGGGCAGTGCAGTCATCTGCCTTACTCCCCAGACCAGTATAATGAAAACATGTATACATTCAATTTACGATATCTAGATATGTGTGTGTGCACTTGCGTGTGAGAGAGTGTCCTTCTGAAGTGATATGTATTTATTTTTGGGAGTCTCAACTGATGCTTTGTTATTGAAAATGGCTTGTATCTGGTGAAATTTGTTTCTAAACCTAGATGCTTTCAAACACCTTTAACAGTAAATTCTGAAATTATCACTAAAAGAGCATCCACTAGAAAGGGTTTTTCTCGAAATAAGTAGATAGCTACGGATATCTGACTATATAACCAGAGCATAGAGTGTATGTATTATATGTATGCGTGTGCATGTATACATTGGGCTAATATATTTCATTACAGGCTTATTCACAGTGTAGATTTGAATAGCTTTTTCTATATATGTGTGTGCGTAAGATATTGCGGTTTCCTATGATGGGTGTTTAATTAAGCCTAACACTGCTTTGATTTTTAAAATATGGCGAATATATTATTATTATTATTATTATTATTATTATTATTATTATTATTATTATTATTATTATTTGGTGGTGTTGGTGTTAGTGGTTATGGTGCTGCCTATTGTTTCACAAAAGACAAGGATGCTATTAAGGAAACAGGTTCCATTAAATGGCCTTTTAAACTTGGGCGCCTCTGTCATTGTGTGGGTACTTTTTAATGTCTTAGCGAGATGTATTTTTCATACTTTTCTTCATGGGCTATTAGGTCTGGGAAGTCGTGAAGGCTGGTTGGGAGATATGAATTGTGAGAGCCTATTTAGCAGCAGCAGCAACAACCTCAGACAATGCCGAAGCTGGCTGGCGGGGCTGCCTTGGGTGAAGGGGCTCAGGAGCCTTTGCTGTGGCCTTATTCCAGGATATTCCCCATCATCTAGGAAAGGACAGATTTTTCCTTCGTATCTAGATGGAGTCTTTAAAGACCTCCCCAAAAACATTATCCTAAAAAAAGTCTAGATCTGACCGTGTTGGCTTGGCTTTGATATGCCCTGGTGTGTGTTTGTGTGCCTCTAAGACGCCTGTGTCGACCTTTGTGGGCACCATGAATTTCGCAGGGTTTTCTTAGGCAAACAATAGGCAAGAAGTGGTTTTGTCCCTTCCTTCCTCTGAAATATAGCCTTGACTTGCTAACCGCAAAAATATGTCTTTGCCTGCATCCTTACTTGGGAGCTATACACGAGGAATTTAAGGGAATTTACCTACGAGTAAGGACGCACTGGACTATTATTCCTTTCTAGCCTTCATAGGCATCAGCAATCTGTATTATGAAAGTTTCGGAAATAAATAGCATAGCATTTGAAACGGGTTTCTCCAAGGGCATTATTATTATTATTATTATTATTATTATTATTATTATTATTATTATTATTATTATTAAAGTGCTGCAGGTGTGTGTGTGTGTGTATGTGTGTATGCATGCACATGTATGTATATGTGTATGTGTGTGTGTGTATGCATGTACTGGACTATTATTCCTTTCTAGCATTCCCAGTCATCAGCAATCTGTATTATGAAAAGTTTCAAAAATAAATAGCATAGCATTTCAAACGGGTTTCTCCAAGGGCATTATTATTATTATTATTATTATTATTATTATTATTATTATATTATTATATTATTATTATTATTATTTAAGGCTTGCAGGTGTGTGTGTGTGTGTATGCATGTACTGGACTATTATTCCTTTCTGGCATTCCCAGGCATCAGCAATCTGTATTATGAAAAGTTTCAAAAAATAAATAGCATAGCATTTCAAACGGGTTTCTCCAAGGGCGTTATTATTATTATTATTATTATTATTATTATTATTATTATTATTATTATTGGGTTGCTGTAGTTTTTTTCCGGGCTATATGGCCATGTTCTAGAGGCATTCTCTCCTGACGTTTCGCCTGCATCTATGGCAAGCATCCTCAGAGGTAGTGAGGTCTGTTGGAACTAGGAAAATGGGTTTATATATCTGTGGAAAGACCAGGGTGGGACAAAGGATTATTATTATTATTATTATTATTATTATTATTATTATTATTGTGCTGCAGATGTGTGTGTGTGT